ATCTGGTGTGATACTGGCTTACAAAATATTCTCGGATATTAATTCAAGTTTTACTGGCAAAAGCCAAGTATCATATTTCACCATCTGCAACAGTGAAGCTGGTATAGTTTTCTCCTTTTGAAGCTGCATGAGTGGCTGTATTATGCGTCATCACTGCAAAACGAGACCCAAAGGATACAGTGGGAAATACTACAAAGTCAGGTGTTTTTTTTTATGTATGTCAGGATGTGAATGTTTTTCTTTTTTTGCCTTTTGTGTTGCAGCCATGCTAGATCAGGAAATGAAGCGTGGGTGTGGTTGTCACTTGGGTACAAAGTAAAGATGTTCAGTTAGGGGATGAATAAGAGCCCATGACTCAGGGGACCTTTGAACAAGTAGCTGAGATTGAAACAGAAACCAGGAGATGATGGGTTTAGGACTGGTGTGAATATGCCTAATTTCTCTGCGGTCATCATGACCAGAAAGCTGGACTTTGCTGTGAGCACGGCTTGATGTATGTGTGAAACTGAATATTAAAAGTGAGCACTGTAAGTAGTTGAAACCATTGCTTTGTTTTCATTCCCATAATAACAGCCTGTAACCAACCAGCGTTCCCATGCAGAAAGGGAAGTGAAACAGAGGATGACAAAGTGGCATTTCCTGTGGTCAGACCGCTCTGTCACTTGCTGACATCTGTGCCTGATTACTGTCATTGTCACTACGGGCTGCACTGAGACATCACTGGGAAAACACAGGGCCTATCCTGTCTTCTAGTGTCTCAACAACAGACCACTTTTCTTTGAGCCAAAAATATTCTGTTTCTTGATATGAGAGTATATGTGTGTGTGTTAAGGAAAGGAAAGGAAAATACCTACAGTGGAAAAAACTTTAACTGATAGATTTGATGGATTTTTGGTAGGAGAGCAGCAGATGCATTTCTCAACCATACCAGCCTGACGTATAGGTCTCAGTTTCAGTTTTGTGGTGTTATTTTAGTCCCCTAGAAATTTGTACATGATCGCAATGGATGTGAACCAAACTCATAAGTAATGTTACTGTAAAAACTCACATATTCTCCATTCATTTGTCAGACTTGGAAAAGCTTAGCCGAGGGCTGTTTTGCTTGAAAAATCTATTTTTACTACACATCAGCTGATTTTCTTTCATGGTGACCTTTTTTTCATTTTTGCACGTGAAGGGTAATCTGTGTTGGTCAGATAATGTGCAGGCTTTTGTTTACTTGCCAAAAGGCACAGCTGATGTACTTGGAGTCAACGTGGGAGATTAGATGCTAGCACAGTAATACCTCTATTAGTTTTATTAGAATGGCAATATGATTTATATCACATAGACGCCTCGAGCAAAGTAGTAGTTAACACATGCTGCTTGGCAAGCGTAAAGGTTGTTGATTTGATTCCAGCTAAAGACATAAAACCCTCTCTGGATTGCGTCAAGAAGAGCATCTGATGTAAAACTGCCAGATCAAATGTGCGTAGTTACTCGCCATGGCGGGAGGGGGGGGGAGAGAAGGGCAAAGTGTCTTACTTACTTTTAGAAGTAAGAACAACATGAATAACAGTAATGATAAAAACCCATGTTCTTTTATTAAATAA